CTCGTGTCAAATTGCATGGACTCAATTCCATGCCTGTCTACCTATAGAAAAATCAAAAAATTTTTGAATGGGTAGTATCTTCTCAAGTCGGTTATCAGTATCTGTTGAGTTATAAATAACGAATTTCGTGAAACCGACCAAACAATCGGTCAGATAAAGTTCGATCCATTGTCCTGAATATTTGACTAACGAGGGAAGTACCCCAACTGATAAATCGCTTTTTGAACGGAACCTAGTGGACTATAGGTAGTCGACGATGCTGATTCTGAATATCACCATGACTGCTGTTGCTAGACCTTCAAAGGCCGATTTTCTGGAAAACCAGTTTTCGAGAAACTCTAAAGAACAACCAAAAGCTTTCTTAATGAGGCGTAATTATAGTCCATAAATTTCTAATTACAACGAGGTATCTCCCAGCTCGACACGATCTTTCTTTGCAAAGTTATAGAATTTACAAGAAAGTTCCACTAAATTAGATAATAATTGAGGAATGTCTGGATATCCTTTTATCAAAATGATAGTCGACTGATTTGAGGATACTACTAGGAAAGTCAAGACTATGTTGTCGATCTGGTGCATGTCATGGCTTAATTCAATCCTGGCATAATTCATCCCTTGCATATTCTGTAAGCGGACAATCTAATAGTGACACTCGCTCATAAGAATAGCTCGAATCATATCTCTAAACAGGCGAAATTGATCCATCTTCAAATATGCACCATAATTCTGATGCACTAATGGAAGTGTTTAAATCTTTACGTTTCGTGACGTTTCTAACGTCCGACGGATAAATGGTAATAAATGTCACTTAGCCGCCATATCGTGGTCAGCTACCTCGGACAGTTAACAAAAGCAAATTTAAATAACTTAAGGCTGGAACTACAGAAATAGTATCATCTAAGATCTAAAAAAATGTATTCCTTTGTCGATATTCATGGCACATATTGGATGGCAGCTGCACTGTACCTTGAGACTCATTTGGCGATCTCCTAAAGAGCTGGAGATATCGACTGATTGTGACAGTGAAACAAATTAATAGTAATGCATGAATTACAGTACCCAAAACTCGGGAGACAAAGATTTCATCACTGACGACATTTTCAAGGCTTTATCATATCCAACGTCTTCTTAAGGAGGGGCGGAGCCCCCTGGCTTTTTACATCACCTTGTTGCCTGTGTCGACTTACGTATATAGTGACACGTTTGAACCTCCCAGACAAGTTAATCCCATTTTCTTTTAACTTTTAAAAATTTACAGAAAGGTGAAGTCCGCGTAAGAACGATAATCGGCCCACTAACAATAACTCCTCTAATCGGTCCCAACCTCATCAGAATCACATCCGATTATCATATTCCATGATTTCGACCCTTCCGAACGCTTTCAGTCGAATATACCCGACAGAACCTACTTGAAACCAAGCAACAGGTTAGCACCAACAGTATGACTGTAAAATCAACATTTCGCAGTAATCATACTATATTAAGCCTAGCGCAATACATCATTCGATACGGCATGAAAAGCTCTACAACATGTATTAATAAGAAACTTAACGAAGTCTGGCAGCAGGTTTTATGAATTTACTACTAGACTTTTCCATAGGTAAAGACTATACCATGGGACCTATTATTCACTTTTTCTGTGAAACTAAAGATGATCTCTAAACATTCATACATGATTCGATGCGCCATGAAAAACTCTACAATATGTATTAATATCACGCTTAACGAAGCCTGGCAGCACGTTTTATGAATTTAATACTAGACTTTTCGATAGGTCGCCGCGATGCTACTCGAACTGTCGGTCACTTTTCTCTATGAAACTAAAGAGAATCTCTAATCATTAATACACCATTCGATGCGTCTTGAAAAGCTCTACGATATGTGTTAATAAGAAACTTAACGAGGTGGGGCAGCATGTTTTATGAATTTAATACTAGACTTTTCCATCGGTCTCGGCTATACCACGGTCACACTTTGTCACTTTTCTCTATGAAACTAAACAGGATCTCTGATCATTCATACATCATTCGATGCGGCATGAAAAGCTCTACAATATGTGTTAATAGGAAACTTCACGAAGCCTGGCAGCGGCCGTTATGAATCAAATACTAGATTTTTTCATAGGTCTCCGCTATGCTACTCGAACCGTCGGTTACTTTTCTCTATGAAACTAAAGTTGATCTCTAATAATTCATATATCATTCCATGTGTCTTGAAAAGCTCTACAATATGTGTTAATAGCACGCTTAACAAAGCCTGACAGTCGTGTTTGGGTATTAAATACTACGACGCTTTAACGTAGAATGGCTCCAAAAATTGCTCGCCACCTTTATTTTTTCTCGTGGACTGTACAAGCTAGAACAAATTTGAAAAAAAATTTGAGCAGCTGATAGAATTTGGAATTTGCTGTGCTGTTTAACAGGGTTCTATCATAGCTCTTTAAACCAGGGTCTCTGGAAAACCAACTTCCAGAATTCAATCTAACAATTCGTTACAAAAAGTCCATTCTGTAGAGCAAACATTTCTGAAGAAAATGAGATTTCTCCGAGCTCTTTACGGCACTTTTTAGTGAATCAGCATTCAATGTACGAAAGGCCCTACGCTTGTTTTCCCGTTAGTTATGCTGGTATGGGACGGTCGGTACATTGAATGCTGATTCACTAAAAAATGCCGCAAAGAGCTCGGAGACGTCTCATTTTCTTCAGAAATGTTTGCTCTACAGAATGGACTTTTCGCAACGAATTGTTAGATTGAACTCTGGAAGTTGGTTTTCTGAGATTTTGGTTTTCCAGAGACCCTGGTTAACACATGTTGTAGAGCTTTTCATGCCGCATCGAATGATGTATTGCGCTAGGCTGATGAGGTTGGGACCGATTAGAGGGGTTATTGTTAGTGGGCCGATTACCGTTCTTATGCGGACTTCACCTTTAAGAGGTTTTTTAAAAAATTTACTGTTCATTAAAGAAGCGTGTTCTAATGAACGTTAGTGCTTTCTTTAAAAGATGCACCTCGAAATACTCTACAAAACCATAGTTAAACTTTAAGTAAAATTGAGTATAAAACTGCGTGTAGCAGTTTTATACTCAATTTTTACTTGTTTATTCTCTACTGTTATTCCAAGAAGTTACTTATAGTTAAACTTTATTTTCAGAACTTCAATCAAGTAAACTACGAAAGACGAAAAAAATGAAAACTTTTAAAGGAGGGCGGCGGGTAAGGTCAGTTTTCTGCCTTCAATATTTTGAATAAAAATCACATATTCGAAATCAGCGTCGAATTCTGGACACAATGAGGTATTTCTTAGCCTGGCCAAGTCACTTTCGATTTTTTCGAAAATTTTTCTCACATAGGGGGACAGGGACAGGGAAACTTTTGTTTTTCAAATTTTGATAAAATATACCTCATTAGAATCAGAATTGCGTGCTGATTACGAATATCGGATTAAAAATTGAAGAAAATTGATTTTTGTCGAAAAAAATTGTTTTGTTATATTCATGCTATAAATAACCTATATGGTTAACGGTGCAGCTAGCACCCGAGGACCACCATGGACTGTCTTCATTACTTGTGCCAAGCACCTTTTCCTGTATTTGGCTTCAAATATATCCACTAGGATAGATACATGCTGAGTGAAAGAAATCTTGCCTTTATATCAGAAATAAAAAAAGCGCGCATGACATGATTTATTCCGCGCGCTTTTTTTAAGAGATGAATAGAATATGTGTTGCCATTTTTTGTCAGTTTTGTAAATTTATAGCGACACTTACCTACTTCAGCAGAAATGATACTGATCATGGCGTTCTGTTCTACACTTTAATACTTATATTATCTTATTCTCATATTTTCTTTTGTATAGTACATTTTCTCATGATTGGTAATTCCATTAAATACCGATCCATGTTTTCCGTACAAATGAGCAGCAGACAAACAACAACTGAAGCCAACGGAATACTGCTGATATTGGTTGCTTATCTTGCATCTGTCATTATCGAGTCAATTCACGACCCTTCTCTTCTCATCTTTGGTTAAAATCTGCCCTAGTTTCATAGACATAACTCTTGAGAGTTGCGACATGAGCTTTCTCACCAACCTACCATTCTGCTTTTTTTAAAAACATTGTTTCCTACTGACTGACTTTAAGTAACAACTAAACTAGATGTTTGAGAAGACTTACTCGTACTATCAAGGGGCCGTATGACGAAAAAACTTAAGTCTAGCTTAAGTCAGGACTTAAGTTTTACCGTATTACAAAAAAACTTAAGTCATGGGAAATGTAGTTTTAAAGTTAAGACCGAAAACTTAAGTCATTGACGCATTTTTCGAATAGCTCAGACATTTATGATACGATTCGACGAAAACGGCTGTTAAACTTTAGAGAATAAATATTTTTTGTTATTTTCTCGGGTTTTGTCCCAAGTTTGTCACTGTTGTCAACGCCTTTCAAAAAGTAAATAAATCACCAACTTAAGTTTTTTTGTAATACGGTTTCAGTCTCTTGACTTAAGTCGGTCTTAAACTTAGACTTAAATCACGACTTAAGTTTTTTCGTAATACGGTCTCTAGCTTGCTATGTTTTCTTTTTTCCAATAAACAGAATCTACTTATATTCTGTTCATCAATGTATTTCACAATAATCGTTAATAAAACTTGAATATAGAAGTTACCCTTTTCTTTTGTGAACTTGAGACGTATCTGAACTATCTCTTGACCTACTTCGGCTATTTTGACTTCTAGCTAAACCCAGCTTAAGAACTACGACTATCTTAAGTTATATTTACATTCTGCTTGAGCTTTTTTCAATATACTCCAGTTCTTGCTCTTGATGTTTGAATCATCTACAGAGCTGGGAAGTAGTAGTATATACGAATAGTCGTTTTTTATTTTTACTTTTACTTGTGCAGTTAACGACCTAAAGCTATATTAGAGACAAGTAATTCAGAGGTCGAAATGAATTAAGTTGTCTCTTGTTTTGTTCTCTGTTAGTATGTACTCTATTTCAGATGTCTAAAGCCCCTTTAGGTGACTTATCTGTAAACACATTTGAACGTCATCGTAATGCAAATTTGTTATTATCACCATTGAGAACAATAAAAAACGTAAGTGTATTATCTTTTTTTTTTATAGTACTTTTACATCTTTTAATTGTCATTCAGGAAAACTGCATGTCTGCTCGATCTTCTCCTTATCGATCATCCCCACATCGTCTGACAAAACAACAGCAATGTCAGCTTCTATCTAATCAAACAACAGTTGGTGTTTTAACAGATGTCACAATTTCAGTTGTTCAAGTCCATGACAAACAGACAATGACATCAGATTATGCTGATGACGATGTTAAGTATAGAACGAATATGAATGAAGATTTGTTTAACATGTGTGTAAAAGGTATGACAAAATGGTCTATTATCTGGTCAATTTTCTTCTTGTCGTCATAGAGTCTTTTAATATAATAATACACCGTTTGGTGTTAGCCGTACTTCAGCATAGAAAGCATCATCAGTATTTGTTTTTCAATAGGATAATAGTTTCTCGAACATAACGGGTGTCCCATAAATAATGGCACTGTTTGTATTTTGCGCTTTTCTTTATCAATTTTGATTCAGTTCTCTACAAAATCATATGAAAAGTGTTCCTGTAAAATACAATCGTGGAATCCTATGCAGTCAACACAGACATGCCCCAGAAAAGGTACATTTTCAAACTAACTGTTGCGTTTTAGTGAATATTACGCCACTGTTTGACTGAATATTGACAGGCTGAATATGCCGTTTTGTAGCCCTAGAAAAGCCTTATAAGACGAGTCGCAATTGAAAAATTCTGATGCTTAAACTAGCCTGAAGATCGTCTTCCTCTTTCTTCTACTATTTTGATCTTTTCGAATTTACTGCTGCACTTGTTCGCAACCACGATTTAGTTGGATCAAAATGTAATTCTTATAGTCAAGTCTTTCATCAATCTAAAGAAAAATGCTTCTTCTATCATCCTGAAAAGATCAAACAAGTATAAAATAAAATTTCTACAATAGAGAAAGTGCAAGATTGAACTTTCATTTAATCCAAGCAAGTTTTTAAGGAAATTATTTATGGGACACCCGTTAATTAAAAAATTCGTATATCTTACTTTCTTCAACACATCTCTATTGCAAAATCTGTTGAGAAATGGATAGAAATGGTGTAGTTATTCGGACATGAATGGAGAACTTTCTTACATTCCATCGTTACTTCTAAAATGATTTGTTTATTTTATTTAGCTGATGCACCAGAGTCTTATTGGAAAATAATTGCTGAAAAAAGAAGACTAGCTATTGAAGAAACACAAAATGAAAATGAACAGGTGAGTTAAATAGAGTTGAAATGAATAAAATAAAATGTATTTAAAACTATCTTATTTATTTAGCTTCATGAATTAATTGAACAGTTAAATGAGGAGAACGAACATTTGCGAGATCTTGCTGAACAATGTCAATATTTAAACAATATAGTGTTGGTAAGCATTATGAAACTATTCACTATTTGCTAGTGTGGCATGTCATTTTAAATTAATCTTATTAACTCGTCTAGGGAATTCTTTATATTTTCTTTTTTCTTCAATGTCTCAAATTGATGACACTAATAAAGATACGAGTTCTTAAACAGTTACCTTTTCAAATTTACTTTTAAAGGCGTGTGTCGATCATGCATGGAAGTTACTGATCTTCTACTCTTATCTTGACAAAATTTTTTCTTGTACTGATAACAGTTTCTACATCTCCTATTGTTTACTAACTTCATATTTATCATATTTTCATTTAGGAATTAGTTCCTCAAGACGAACAGAAAGATGCTGAAATGAAAATCAATGGAAATGAATATTTAACGTCAACAACACATCAGGAACAATAATATTAAATGCATGACAGACTATATTTTTCTTTATGTTTGAAAACAATAAAATCTATCTCTTTATTTGCTATAATTTTTTATCAATTGAAAATACTTTTCATTTTTTATTGTATATATTGTAAAGAAAAAATAATCGATTTATTTTTCTTTTTTGTTATACGTTCAGATTCACATTGTCAGATTAAAAATGGTGAATATTTGTAAACATATTTTTTTTTTTTTGTTACTTTTAATTAGCATGAATTTGCAAATACTAATGTTTGAATCGAACGAGTGGATTTAAAAACCTCGTGAATGTAGAGTTTTATGAGAATTAGGATTTCATCACCTAATTTTAAAAGCATCAGACAGAATTGAAAACTTTAGAGTATGTTTTTAATTTTGTCTGCTAAATGTGATTATAAGATCGAAAACAATTGAAAAGCCATGTTTTTGTCCAATAGATTTCTAGAAAACCTTTTGGCTTTTGTAAATTTTTCTTTGTAGCTCTTTTATAAATAGGATATACGATAGTCTAAATAATAAAAAACTTGTGTAAAAAATGGTGGAGTGCATTTGTTTGTTTCGAAACGAACAAAAGATATAAATTCGTAAACTTCAAATGTACCACAGATAAAGGAGTTGAAATCGAAATATCTAAAACATTTGCTCGTTATGCTAGAAAAAAATTAACCGCAAATGAAACAGTTGGTTTATGTATTTATTGATTCCTAATAGAAAAGGTCAGCGATTAAATGATCGTTGTAGGCCTAGCAATAATACAGATGGAAGCAGTTGGTGAACGTAGTGACAAAAAATAAAAATAGAAGAACGAAGAGAAAGACAAAAGTAGACACGTCTGGGTGTGAGTTCAGCATGGACGTCATAAGAGAGAGCGAGGAATACTGTGCTGTTAGTTATTTAAATCTGTTGGTTTGTTGAACATCTGTAATGACCGCATTTAGTAAACATGTTAATGTATCATTATCTAAATCTAAGTTGTTCAGTAGTAAATGGGCATGCACCGATTAATAATCAACGTTGGGACATTCAGGAAAATCGTTCTCACTTGGTTATGGTAAATCTCTCAGAATTGCGGGATGTCTCATTTATGTAGAGAAATATTTGTTCTACAAAGCTAAAGTGTTAAAAAACTTTTAATGTTATTTGTGACAAATATAAATATTCCAAAATGTGCAAAATCGCAAAAAATAATCGACGATCGATTATTTTTTTGCGACTTTTATGCGTTTTTGATTAATCATAGTTTTCCTATATATAACATTAAAAGTTTTTTAACACTTTAGCTTTGTAGAACAAATATTTCTCTACATAAATGAGATATCCCGCAATTCTGAGAGATTTACTATAACCAAGTGAGAACGATTTTCCTGAATGTCCCAACGTCGATTATTAATCGGTGCCTGAGCCCGAAACGAAGCGAAGATTCGTCGAGGCGCCTCGCTTCGTGTACGGCGAAGCGAGGCGTGGCAACATTTTGAAATTGTCAGTCGAGGCGAGGGAAGATGAGATCGAGGCGAAGCGATATGACAAGCGTCACTTCGTCTGATTAAGAACTATCTGTTTTAGAGGAAAAAATGAAAAAAATGAACTTTATAAATGAAACTTGTCACGCGTTCTTCTTGTTTGTTATGTAAATTAGTTGTTGTTTACTTATCAGATAATACAGCTGTGTTGGATAAATTAACTAGTTTTCATACGCTTTCAGACATTGGTAATCGAAAAACGACTTCAAATACTTAGTATTTGCATTTTTTTCGAGGCGAGGCGAAGCAGTTTAAAAAAAATTGGGAACGAATCGATGCGAAGCGAGGTTGAGCGCGTTCGAGGCGAGTCGGGACGAGGCGACAAAATCTTGCCTCGTTTCGGGCTCTGATCGGTGCATGCTTAGTAATAAAGTGTCCACTGTGAATGGGTTCAAAAAGAAAAGTTGCTTAAAGTGTAGTCTTTCAATGTTATGTAATCCACAGTGAAGAAAACAGCGGTCAATGTCTTCCCTATCATGTTCTCAACTACATTTAGGCGAATCAATACATTTGTGCTGCTAGAGATAGTAGTTTAGTGGCAGTAGATTTGATTTAATACACATAATGAAACAGTTTGTCGGTGGTATGGATGTCGAAAATATGTTTTCTCAGATTATTCTTAGTTTGTCGCCAACTTTTTTCTAAGATATTTGTCGAAAAAAGTTAATATTACTCCATATTGTTTATTCAAAGAATTGCAATTGAAATAGATAATGTATCGTATTAGATCTGTCATTTGTGTGTATTTAGCAAAATTTCAAACAAATTCTAAAAAATCAACAAACGCTTGTAATGAGGAATGCTTACTGTGCATCAACGCCATTGTATATAGGGAGTAAAGTTTTCCCGTACTGTCTTTGATATTTATTCGCACCTTATAAAGAAGGGTACCATTAAAGTTTGGATAAACTATTTAAAAAGGTTACCTAATATTGAATTAGAACTGTTTGTGAGAAGAGATTATTCAAGACACATAGTAAACTTATACAATAATTTAGGAGTAAATGTACTTTTGATCACCAAAAAAAGATACTTTTGATCACCAAACGCCTTTAGATACAAATGATCACCAAAGAAAGATACTTTTGATCACCAAATTTTCCAGCATCACATTTTTATACATATAAACATATAAATTTTAACAAAGACAATATTTTCAC